ATAGAGCGAAAGTTAAAATGACGGTGGAATCCTAAGAACTTGAGCCAGTGTTGGAAGATCCCTTTTCCTCACTCTAAATTCGGCTATGCATTCGTCGTCGTTCATGTGATCCAAGTCAAAGCGATCGTACGAATCATAAGCAAAGTCTGGATTTCGTGAGGAAAACGAGTCGTACAAGATTATAAAATCCTTATCACTAATTAGATCAGCATCGTAGTAGAGAATGCATCGCGTGGTTCTAGCGGTGTCACCAGATTTAAATTGGAGACAAAGTGCTGGCATTCCCCATCTTGCTTTTTCAAAAGATCAAACTGACATTCCCACATTTTGATGACTGTATATCTGGCGTCACGCAAGGCTTTGACTTTATTTTCTGTGCGTCTTTGTAACGCTTCCATGGTAAGACCCATGGCGCTGTGTAACACATATTTTCTGCATGGGAAGCAGGTACGACACCCACGATACAAACACCCCTGAAACTCAAAGCAAGTGCATGATTCATGATTCATGGTGATATCCATCGACGTGATGAGTGATGGATGCCACACGAATGCCCATTTCCCCGCCATTTCTTGCGTGACGGATGTGAATTCCACGCTGCCTCTCTTCCCATATCAACCACTCTAACGATTTTAATGAATGTATAGGACGCGAACCATGCCAACCACTGCACGGCTCCAAGGCAATGCTCTCCTCCTCCATCACGGGCTTGCGCCAGTAGCAATTGCAGGCTTGTGCGATCGTGACACATTTTTCTAAGGGGTCAAAACCAGCCACTGCTCGAAATTCAGCCACAAATTTCTGACATCCGGCTTTCAATAACTTCACATCGGACCCACAATATTCGATCAGTTCACGTTTTAGGTCGTACACCTGCTGACGGGAAGATTCTTCTTGATACCATTCTTCAAATTCTGACATTTTCTTTTCGGACATGGATTCGGGGTCAAAATATTTGCGGTCAGGTAACGCGCCCACATAAATAGCATATTCAGGCGTGTGGAAGGTATGCGGGAAGAACCCTTTCTTGATTTCTTCTATTCCAAACGTGCTTGAAAATTGAGCGAGCGATGATGGGATGAAGCAGAAGGAATCTTTAAATTGTACTCTGCGATAGGAAAGAGACAACCGTTTTGTGCCGTTAGGTATCATGAAATAAAATTTACGATGTTCTTTTAAGAGTTGTGCCTGTAAAGAGACACTATCATAGCCTTTCAAATTATGAAATTGCATATGACATCGCGACTCTCTTCTTTGGAAATGAGTTGAGTGGCGGTGCCATAGATGAGGGAATCTAAAAAATCTAAAAATTCCCCAGTGCATTCTGGGCCATAGAAGGTGTAACACTCTTCCGAGTCTCCCATTTCGGCGCGGAGCAAGATGCGGGTATGGGTTCTATCAGACTGGATGAGGGTCTCAAAATCTGCATAGACAAAAATGGGCGGTTCGACATAAGGGCTGACATGGGGGTTTTTCCGTTTCTGTTTTTTGTAAAGGGATGCTGGTTTTTTCATGGGGAGATCTTCTTCCTCATCCACGCTCTGGATGTAACACTTGTGTGCGGTTAAATCGACCTCCTCTCTGCATGCGCGACATCGGCCAGTATAGCATTCGTGAGGGTCGTCGGAAGGCGTATACTCTTTGCAGCAAAGTTCACAGCGAACCCAACACTTGCAAATTCCTTCTGCGTGATGGAAAGCCACACATCTGTCATCATAAAAGTGACGATGGCAATGCTGACAATAGATGGTAGGTGGATGGAGTTTAGAACCACAGGCTACTTGTTTACACGCTTTGCAGCGACGCCCTTCACAGGGATGATGCCTAAAATCTTCGCTGTCGTAACCACGGTTGTACAAATCACAGTAATAGGATTTTTCTAGGAAGGCTTGGTATGATTTACACCCATGGTAATGACCAATGTCAGAGTTGCCCACAGGAGGCACGTACAGCAATCGCACGATATATTGAGGTGGTTCTGTCACCTGACCTTCAAAGAGTAATTCATAGGGGTAGCAAGCCGTGATCACTTTAAGTTGATACTGCGGCGCCAAATACGTTTGGAAAGCGGCTAATTCTGACTTCCCACATGGTCTTTTAGGCACCCCAGCTTCTCGATGAAAATATTTTGCACATCTCGTGAGTCTTTCCGGGTTATGTTGGATATTTCTATAGTACCGCTTAGCCTCTTGGTCTGTAAGGCAGTCAAATGTGTCGCAGGCAGATTTCGTGAGCCAAATAGTGCGAGCACAACACAGGTTGTCGTCATTGCTTACTTCCAATACAGTACGACGGTCGTGTAGTACTATGGCAAGTTTCTTTCGCCCCAACCACTGTTCCCATTTTCCCCCTACATTTTCTCTTCCATCACCATTCCCACGAGCCACCAGAGTCACATCGACGTCGAAAGGGTCGTCGGCTTCAAACGACTCGTTTGAGTTTAACTGGTTCGCCAGCACTTGCAAATAACGATTCCAGTGGTCGCTCCCATGACGCACTTCATCTACTCTAAAATAGGACGATTGAAGCGGGTGTTGAAACCGCGGGGTAGAGAAATTAAATAGGACCTGGTCATTGTCTCTTATCCCACGGGGCCATCGCCTCCCAGTATCATTTACAATTCTTCCCGCTACACGTGCCACAGCTTGTGTGAGTTCTTCCCCCAAATTGTCTTCAGCCCTCGCATCCCGAAGCTGCTTCTTTTGGCTACGAACGCGTTGCTTTAGCAAGGTGTTTTTAAATTTTGCTGGTTCCCCGATGAATTTATTATCAAATTCAAATAGTGGCATACCTGAACCTCTCTGTGGTTGATCGGTCATGCGAAGAAGCTCTTCATCGCTTATGTCGTCGTCGAGAAATTCTTGATCCTCATCATTATAAAGCTCCCCAATACGCACAAGATCTTTATCACTCACATCATCTCTCCACCAATATTCACTCCACGCTCTTTTTCTGGCCGCCATTTTTTAAACTCTCTCAATTTAAATTTTTTCCCGCCACTACTGCTCTGCTACACAATCTCTACCAACTGCGAACGTGCTGAGATGTCATACTCATTATATGATAACTAAGGAACAATAGAGTTCATTCCCTGCACTTTTTGGGTGTGCCTACTCATCAACACCATACTAATCCTTACTAAATTGAAGTTCTTTTCATCTCTATTTCTGCCACGTGACTCTATTTTTTTAATTTTATTATTTTAGTTTGCCGATTCATGTTGTCATTTCGCAGTAGTAGTAGTAGTTGAAGAGCCAAAGAGGTAAGACATGTGGAGACATGAGAGATTTTGTAATTGTTTTTTTTTTTTCTTGACTGCGTATGCATTTTTTTTACTTAGAGGGAGTAGAAAAGAAATGGCCAGGCGCTATTCGTGGAGGATACGCGAGGAAGGGCCCGAAGAGGATGGAGAATCGTACCCCTGTTTCATCTGTTTGGCACAAATATCGGCGAATTTAATGCAGGCTACAGTGACTTCGTGTTGCGGGAAAAGAATTCATAGGCGCTGCCTACAAGAACATAGAGCCACATCTAATTACTGCGGGCATTGCAGGTATCCTTTCCCATCACGGCCAAGGCTAAATGATGATGATCAAAATGATGGACCATTTGCATATGGTGAAAGGCCAGATAATAACGCTGAAATTGTGCCACAGTTCGGAAACATTCCGCCTCCCTTAAGCGCCGATCACGCTAACCTGAGACAGCAAGCCATCGCTGATTTAAGAGCATTGTTGGAACCCGGCGCCTTGGAGACCAGAATTCGCGAAGTGAGTATTATAAGAGAGAAATATATATGTATTAATTTCTCCCCCTTTTCTCATTTTTTGTTTTTTAGATTTATACTAATAGCGATGAGTTCTATCATCAAGCACTCTGGCATGCCCAATTTTTAATCACCGTTTTAGAACGCATGTTTATCATCATAAATAATCCAAATATATTTAGAGATAACCGTTATGTACTCATAGAAATTTATATACCACCTAATTTTGTTAGATTGTTTTTGCGTTATTTTTCATCGCAAAACTTTGAAGTGTATGAGCGATTATTTTGTACACGATTTTAGTCTCAGATTTTTAAAATTTTTTTAGAGATATATTTTACGGCCGCGGTTATCCTTTATGTCTTTTTTTTAACGTTAGTACGAGGTACCCAATTCACCCACTCACTCGTTTCCATTTTCATATGTATTATCGTCAGCGTTGATTTTTCGGTCTGTTTTTTTTTTAGATTCGTTGCCAAAGATGATTTATATACCCTGTTCAAATCCGATATGAACGTTATTTTGATTTCTATTTTGTTTTAAACCAAATATCTGTTGAATTGTGCAATGGTTTATCTGGTCAAGATGATTATGTGCGCGTTTTTGTGTATCGTAATTCTCGGCCATTTCATACCGAGTTTCAAGTATTTTTACGTACTTTTTTCACATCCATTTCTTCTATACAACGTTATGTGCACGTGCAGCGAGACTATCCATACACCCGCCAAGAAGGCGACATTGTTATTGTTGGTCATGGTGAAATGAGAGGTTGTTGGTGTACCGTGGTATTAAGGCCATTTCCATTTTATTCACTTAAGATTGGAATTAACATGTCACTTGCAAGCGAACGGGAAATGATTTTATTTTTTGAAAATTATTTTTGGAACATTAAAGTAGATCTGAGATTTGATTTGGAAGATTATATCTGTGTATACGTTTCATCGTGGGATATTTTCCACTTGGGGGAAATGATTCTACCATTATCTCACATCGTGCATTTTTTTACTAAACCTTTAGAACAACCCTATTATGACCTTTTATGTTCTTTTGGTGGAATGGGTAACTCGGACGTGAAAATTTATAGATATACTCCGGTGTTTACTTAATGCAGTGTGTGACAATATAGTGATCAGATTTTTTTACTCTTTTTTAGATTGGCAATGTGACGCCGTTTTTAGATGAGTCGCGTGCAATCACGTTTTTACATTTATTTTTTTCACAAATCAAACATGAGCTCACTTACGAAATAGATTCTTGGCTTTGTGTGTACGTTCCATTGATGGAGCTTTTTAAATTGACAGAATCCGTTCGTATATTGGCACACATTGTTTATTTTTTTTTTAATAATCTAGCAGAACAAAACAATTATCACCTTTTGTGCACTCTTTGCAATTTTTTTAATAATTACGCGATAAAGATATTTAAATATGAACAACCATTTTAGATGACAGAAATTTTCTTTTTATTTTGTTCAATAGGTATATGAAGACTCGCTAAATATCCGTTTACACCGCCCGATAAGATCAGCAATTTTTTTAATTTATGATTTTTTTACTCGTACACGACACGGAACGAATCTTAATTATAATCGGTAAACATGAATTATTTTGGACCCTTCATTCCTTGTATTTTTTTAATATGATACCGAGGTGTCAGGTTCATTGGTTTTACGCGTACCCATATGAAAATAGTTATCGATTAGTGGCGCGCGCGCGTACTCTTCTAGAAACACAAGATAATGTTTCTTTTTATTTAAAAATCACGTAATTTTTTTTTTTTATTTCTAGGTTTTTGACACACCTCCTATAAATTTTCAAGAAACTCTTTTGTATGAATCTGTTGATATGACCTTATTTCTTCTTTACGATTATTTTCCCGAGCTAGATTATTCTCATCTCATTGTCATTTCTCATTTAGATGTGTACGAGTGTTTGCATGCCGTTTATTTAAACAGACACCAATTTAATTTAGATGTACGAGTGCAAATGATGTATCCTCAAAATTACGAGGGCTATAGACATCTCGTAGACTATAGAGTAGGTCAAATTGCTTCCATGTCAATTTATGCCAGAGATTGAACGGAATTTTTTTTCTTTTCTTAGACCCCCATCAGATTTAATTATGAAGTGAACGCGTATAGATTTTTTTTACAACGCCTGCTCTTTTACCGTACATCCATGTTATCCTGCTGTACACTCTTCCTATTAGACGAGATCCATTTTGATTTATTTGACCAGTTAAATTTTTTATATTCATTTCTTCTTTTCGAGTGTCACGTTCACCATTTGTACTCTTTCCTATAGAAAGACTTATTTTTCATGTAGGTTGCGACTTTTATCGCTTTAACCGTAATAGACTTGTCATGTGCAACGTTTATTTTGCTTAA